TATGAATAATGGTCCAAAATAACATAAAATGCATAGGGTTTTTTGTTAAGTAACATACTTTCGTCGCCGGCCGGCCGATACATGCCGTGCATTAATCCCCGGGCCACTTTTCCCCCGCAGTCCGCCCCTGACAATACATACATAAAAAAAAAAATCCTCAGGCCAGCAGGCCAGGCCATCGGGAAACCTCCCGGTCCTCCCGATGGCCAGTCCGGGTCTGGCGTTGTGATGCCAAACAGCGTCAATTCAGACTGAAACACATTCACTGATGGGTATGGGGGATATTTATCAGCTGCTTGTGTGACAGTCAGACTAGGGTTGTTTCTCAATGTCGAGGAAGGCTGCTCCAGAGCCACTATTTCAAGGATGCTACATCATCGAGTCCCGCCGAAGGACTGTTCCAATGTCCAGGATGCTTGGAATTCTAGCGAAGCCGGCGTCCTTCTTTGCGGGAAATTTCGAGGCTGAACATGTGTATCCTCCGCGGTCTTAAAATCCCCACAATGCTTTGCGCACGGACCAATTTCCAAATCTTTGGCGGAAATCGCGCTCCATTTAAGGCGGAGCCTCGCATATGACGCACACCTGCACACCTGTTAGCCTGTTCTACAATTCTTCGTTTTCCGAGGCTAGGAAGGATTCTTGCATCGCTTCTGAAGGACCTGACTCGGAGGGACTTGTCCTACCAAGGAAGCGTCCTCGACATTGAGAAACACCAAGTGAATACTTTACAGCGGACGCTGCCGTGAGTTAACAGTAGACTAACAGCTCTGCAGCGGTCGGTAATCCCGCTGAACCACATTCATAAACAATGTACCACGGCACTCTTGAGAAAGGTATAAGGTTGGAGAAGTAGTTCTTTAATTTAATCTGGTTTCGTATGATTAAAAACTACCCGACGCAGTCCTCTATTGATGTTGTTGTGAGCGGTGTTGCGGAGAAAATCAGCAACGTAAAACGCTGTGTGGGTCATAAGAAGGCACGTAAACGTCATGACGCAAACGATGGCGCAATGACGCAATAATTCACCTTTGAACCTAATTCACCTTTGAACCGGCATCTGTAACAATGAGTGGACCAAAGAAAAGAAAAGTCGACAATGAGTGGCGAGTGTTTAATGAGGAGTGGACAGCTAAATATTTTTTCACCGATCTGCTACTGTCCCGGCCCGGCTGTCAAATTTTAAACAACCTGGTCTCACCAGAATGCGTGACTCCACCACGACTCCTTAACACCGCATTGCGTGGTGGAGTCACGAACTTTGCTACATTTACGTGTCTGCACCACGCAAACAACCCGAATGTAAAGTGAATGAGGCTCCTTTGTCGTGGTGCACACACGCATTTCTACAACGTCCAGCAGTGAGCTTTTATTCTATAAAACGTTTTTAAAATCTACTGTATAGCTTGTAGTAACTCACAGGAGGCTTCTTTTATTTTATTTGTATTCATAATAATTTTTATTTTTCGTCAGAATGTATTATGGTGCATTATTCACCAATGTTTGTTCTCAAAAAACAATGTATTGTGTGTAATACAACTGTGATTTTTATTAAATTAGTTCGTTTTTAAGGAAGGCCAGAGCTTCAGCTGTGTCAAAGAGATTGTTCCCTTTAGTTAACGTTATTTAAAAGATAATTATATTCCTATTTGATTAAGTACCCTTTATTGTATTACGGACCCAAAGAGCTGAGCGTCCATTCCCATTGGATAACGGAGCATTTTACACCCGGAAGTAAGTATTCTCCTTACTGTCCATTGATTTTATTTACAGTGATATCTGCACAACTCATCAACTCAAAAACACCAGATTATCCTTGTTAATTACACAACATTGATTGGTTTAAATTGTGTACAATGCTTTTGTATTTTCCCCTTTCGATTCGGAGAAACAAATATGTTTTCGGAGTGTGTGGATGGTAGAAGACACTACACTACCCAGAATCCTCAGCTATTGTTCCGCTTTGCCTCAAGCTCTGTGATTGGTTGACCTCCAACTGCATTCCAATGAAAAAAACGTTTCGTCAAAGATCAAATCATACTTTATTCAGCAGTGCTTGCTTTACTCTTTGAAAGTCATCACATGAATGCATTGTAATGAATGGTTTGGCTGCATTAAACATTACACATCTGTCGTAGTTCTTTATTTATCTACAGAGATCGGGCCTCAGAATGGACCGGAAACTATTCTTTACCGTTCTATTTTAATTTCACAATAAAGTTAGTAGTAATAATTTGTTTTGATATTATTGTTTTTTATTAACTACTAGACCGCTGGGTCATGTTAAGACCATCTTTTCTGTGTTGCTGTGGGTTTTTTACATCGCTTTTGTGTTAAAAATATCAAAACAATAACAGAATATATCCGTCGTAAACTAAACCAGAAACAGCAGTATATTTTATTTTGTTAACACTGTAAACTTGACAGCTTTTTAACCCGCACCTCCTACTGGTTAAAGCACGTTATTACACGTTTAGAGTAATGCAATGCAGGTAGATTGGGTTGCTTTTTATTGACTGTTTTAAAATGACTTTTTCTTAATGTCTTTCATTTTTGTAAAGCACTTTTGAATGTGTTATATTTGATGAAAACATTTAAATATTAAGAGTACATACTCTTAATATAGTGGGAAAGTGGAAGGTCAATGATATAAATAATATAGAATAGAAAATATCAAGAAGATACTGTAAGTGATCTCTACAATAAAACAGTTTAGTGCCTGATAGGAGGATGTGCAAAACAGACAAACTAATAAGGCTTTATTTAAACATTAAAGAATACTTTAGGTTAAGGTCTTCTTTTAAATAAGAAAAAAGCTTTGGGGGTATCTACAGATTTTAAGCCTGACAAAGTACTTAACGTCTAATATATTGCATGGTTTGTTTTGGAACTTGACAATCAACTTTCCTTCAATGTTAACTATGTTGAAGCACTTATTTTAACTGATATTATACATATTAATTATACTCTTATAAGATGTACGTAGATAGTATAAGAAATGTGCAGAATATGTTTAATGGTGGAGGTACACAGATATCGATAGATGTCTTGTGATGCACTGTTGATGAACCTGTGACCCAAGTGTTTCATTCATTGCATAACTACACCGTAGTTGTGTATATGATATGTCAATACACCTTAGAAAATCTTGAAATCTTGAAAGGGATGTGCAAAATAGCCATTATATACAGTTTTTAATTAACTATTAGTAGAGAATAACGAGTAATGAATATGCTTTATAGGGATCTGCAGATAAATATTTAGTCTTCTCAAGCACCCACTACCAAATATCTCGCCTGATTGTTGGCTGAATTCACTGAATTTTACTCAGGTGTAACTAAAGTCTGATTTAAGGGTTGTTTATATTTCACATCATTAATCCAAATCTGTAAAGTAACTAAAATAAATGTAGTGGAGTAAAAATACCAGGTTAACCTTAAAGAAAGCCCTCAGGATTATAAAAGACCCCCATCACCCCACAAACTGTTCTGTCTGCTGCCGTCTGGCAGGCGGTACCGCAGCATCCGGACTAAAACCACCAGACTCAGGGACAGTTTCATCCCACAGGCCATAAGACTATTAAACACCTGAACTTAGAAACAACATCCATAACATTCATCTGGCTGCTACTTAGAAATTATTTATCTAATATATCATATTCCAATCACTTGTATATAGACTCGTATTGCACTATTTCACTTTTTACTATTTTACTATTTTTGTTTTTGTATTTACTTGCACTATTTGTTCTGTGTAGCCTATCTGTTTTATTGTGTTGCACTGTTGGAGGAGCCTGTGACCTAAGGGGGGGGGGGGGGGGGGGGGGGGGGGGGGGGTGTAGGACACGTTCTAAGCACATGGTGTAGTCCCATAGCTGAAGATTCTGGGTAGTGTAGTGCCTTCTGCCATCCACACACTACGAACAAATATTTGATTCTCCGAATCGAAAGGGGAAAATACAAAAGCATTGCACACAATTTAAACCAATCAATGTTGTGTAATTAACAAGGATAATCTGGTGTTTTTGAGTTGATGAGTAGTGCAGATATCACTGTAAATAAAATCAATGGACAGTAAGGAGAATACTTACTTCCGGGAGTAAAATGCTCCGTTATCCAATGGGAATGGACGCTCAGCTCTTTGGGTCCGTAATACAATAAAGGGTACTTAATCAAATAGGAATATAATTATCTTTTAAATAACGTTAACTAAAGGGAACAATCTCTTTGACACAGCTGAAGCTCTGGCCTTCCTTAAAAACGAACTAATTTAATAAAAATCACAGTTGTATTACACACAATGCATTGTTTTTTGAGAACAAACATTGGTGAATAATGCACCATAATACATTCTGACGAAAAATAAAAATTATTATGAATACAAATAAAATAAAAGAAGCCTCCTGTGAGTTACTACAAGCTATAAAGTAGATTTTAAAAACGTTTTATAGAATAAAAGCTCACTGCTGGACGTTGTAGAAATGCGTGTGTGCACCACGACAAAGGAGCCTCATTCACTTTACATTCGGGTTGTTTGCGTGGTGCAGACACGTAAATGTAGCAAAGTTCGTGACTCCACCACGCAATGCGGTGTTAAGGAGTCGTGGTGGAGTCACGCATTCTGGTGAGACCAGGTTGATTTTAAAACTCATAATGGCCTCCGAGCCAAAAAGTTTGCCCACCCCTGGTGTGTAGGCTGCTGTCTGAATCTGCTTCATGAAAGGCAGCTTTTCATATAAATAAGATCATTTCTGATCCTAAATATCTTGGTTTCTTCTTTCCTAAGGTCATATTGTTCTGTTGTCTTACATAATACACTTCAGTAAAAAAACATGTTTCTCTTTTATTTATTTGCATTGTATTTGTTAAGGTAATCCCCAAAAGTAAAAAATAAAACATTATTTTTTAAATGATAATATATACAATGTCCTGACAAGAGAAAACCATAGCTGAGTATTAGCACCAGAGGGAGACACATCAACACTGTTGTTATAGAGTTACCCATGCAGATGCCGGTGTCAGAGTCGCTGAGCAGGCTGTAGTCGCAGTAGAGCTGCTTGTGGTGGTCGCATGGCTCCAGCAGGGAGCAGGGGTCCCCCAGCTGCCGGGCACACACCTTACAGCAGCCACAGCCGTCCAGCACCAGGCTGCTGCCCAGCGCGCAGGGCGGGGGGGCTGCAGAGCAGGAACAGGGCTGGGAACAGTCCTGGGCCACTGTCTGAAACACACACAGACACACACACACACACACACACACACACACACACACACACACACACACACACACACACACACACACACACACACACACACACACAGACGTCATATACAGGGGCTAAAATAATGATACAATACCAAATAAATTATAACAGAAGATATATATATATATATGTTCTGTTTTAATAACCAAAACGACTGTTTATGTTCTAGAAATACATATATTTTGGTTAACTGAACTTATAAAGTCAACATTTGAATTGGTGGTTTACAGTACATCAATTGTGTAATTTGTTGAACCATTATTGAGAAATAATACATGAGAGATGTGGATTCAGTCCATTGGATATTTAAACACTGATCATCATTGAACTGTGGGATGGTTGTTGCTTTCTACACAAAGTGTTGGTTTGGGTAGTTGGTTACTTCAGATCTTAATTGGGAAGTGTGTTTGGACGTTATGAGGCATTTCGTTATGGAACATTTTGTGCAACACCAGTGCTGTTTTCAGCTAAATTAAAAAGATTGAGCTTCTTAAATAGGGGAGTTGTATGGTCATATTTAACTTAACCATAGATGAAAAAATCACATTAAACAAGTAGCAGCAGGAACAGCATTGATCTGAGCATCTCAGTAGTCATGGTCAGCTGGTAGCCAGACGGTTGATGAATGAACCAATGGGAAAGCAAATGATGCTAATCAGTAACTGTGACTTCTGTGCTCTGCCTGAACTAATGCTATGCTCAGTTATTTAGTAAACCAGGACAGCTGCGATAGTACCTTTGTTTAATAATATCAAAAGATCTAAATACATTATGTAAGGCAAAAGGTGTCACATTTAGTAATGAATCAACGGAGAATTATAATAAATCCTAAAGTTCTCCTGCCTCTATTAAACTTTTAGCTTGTCTTAGCGCACCTTCAGCAATAGGCTGCTGCACCCCCGCTGTCTCACGGAGAGATACCGCAGGTCTTTCCTTCCTGCAGCGGTCAGACTATACAACCAGCACAGCCCCTAGTTGAGCCCCCCCCCCCCCCCCCCCCCCCACACACACACACACCACAACACAGACTATATCACCCCTTGCTGCTAAATACCAACAAACTATGTGCAATATGTGCAATATATAAATGCCGTTAATAACTGTGTAATATATACCTGGCTGCTAAATCCTTAGAACTGTTACAAGGTGTGTATTTTGTATTTTGTAAATTGTGTAACTTGCTGCTGTTAAATACCAACCACCTATGTGCAATATGTGCTAGATGTGCAATATATATAGATGCCGTTAATAACTGTGTAATATATACCTGGCTGCTAAATCCTAAGAACTGTTACAGGATGTGTATTTTTTTTAATTATGTAACTTTTTATTTTTTATTATATTTGTTATTATATCATAACTTAGTACTTTTTTTTAATGCATGTCACATATTTAACATATGTAACATTAAGCTGTCTGTGGCTCTTTTTCCGGCTGTAACTATGCACATTTCCCCTCCGTGGGACTAATAAAGGTATTCTGATTCTGATTGTTTTACAGCCTTCAACTTCATTGTTTTTAGTTCCCACTCAGCCCTCTCATCAAACAGAATTAGAAAGTTAAATGAGCACTAATAAACCCACTGTAAACCTCAAGTCAAGCAGCAAACAACAAAAGGACACAGTAGGGCTGGGGATCCCTTTGTAGGGATCCATGGCAGCGCCATCACCATTCACATCAATACAATTCATGTGTTAATGATTCAATTGTTTGCTAGAGATCTAGCCTTTTCATTTTGCACTCAATGTGCACCGGAATGATGCATTTAACTTTGAACTGTATACATTTGTGTTTTCTAAATAGATGATTGTGTTGAGTAATTGTGGTCTCAGGAATAAACAGACATCCTTATTATGATTTGTGTCATAATCTAGCAGCACTAGAACATAGAGGAGCATTTGCTGAAGTGCTAAAGTGCCAGATAGTATACTTGTGTCTTGGAATAAAATTTGGCACAAACACTCCAAATGAATGATCATTTAGCTCTGTGCATGTGGATTGGCAAACATGTAACTATTTGTTAACACATAACATAGCAATTTATAGAGCCTTACCAAGTTTATTTATGGCTGTCTTCACGTTTGTTGTGTTGTTCCCAAGTGACCAATAAGATACAGTACATGCTCTGATTTCCTGCTGCAACCCTCTTATTTTGCTCCACCTCTAAGGTTTGGGAGAACAAGCAGGCACTTTCTCATGTTTTCCCCCCAGCTGGACACATTTAGGGAACTATAACTACTTGAGCAAACAAATGAAAAACGTTCTTTCTATCAGAAATGAGGACATGTTCATCTTAAAATTGGACATGTGTTTCAAGAAATTTGTAACATGTGTACTTGAGGTTTTTGGGACAAATGAAGTTCTGCCCACACACCCCACAGTGACTTTGGCTGGCCAGAGTACAAGAAAAAGAACATAAAGCAAACATAAGGAAAACAGATTCTCAGCCTAACATCTTGTGCAAAAATAACTGCAGTGGCCTACCGAAGACATGGCAAACAAACATGTTTACTGCAATGCCCCATAAATATACTATAACACAATTAAATGAGTATGAAAATATCAATTTGCCACAGAAAATGTGAGAGGTCAAGTGAGAATGCACTAGATGCAATAGAGCAGAGGCTCCTATTGTTTTGGTCTGGTATATGGCTGCACAGAATGCCACAAGATGGCAACAGCAGACTGAGACCAAATGGGCCAGCAAATATTTTCCATGTTTTGTTTCCTTCCACTGTTCAGCACCAGCCCAGCATTACATTACATTTCATTTAGCTGACGCTTTTATCCAAAGCGATTACAATAAGTGCATGCATAGCATAGAGGCAGCAGGTTTAAGGAAGAAAACATGAGAGCAACAGATGGGAAATAATGAGGAAAAATACTTCTCTGAGTATTGTGGTGCAAGAACTGACAGAACTCTACATTGTTACCAAATGCAACAATCCTGAACTCTATTATCACAAGTTTGGCTCTTTATGATGAATGACTACACACTAAAGATTCACATGCAGACTTAAATGCACATTTCCTTGCACATTTTCACAGCACAATACCTTCATCTAGATATAAGTCCATCCCCAAATCACGTTTCATTTCATCAGAGAAAATGTGATTCTTAAAATCAAACTTACCGATGAGATAATAAGCAGGAGAACATAGAATGTGTCTGAAGATTCCACAGGCATGTTTCTGTGCAGGCTGCAGTCCACTCAGCAGTATGGTTCCTGAAGAGGGAGGCTCACTCGTGTTATTCTCCGTGCTGCAGACTGATGAAGACTGGGAGGAGGACCGGACTTAAATACCAGCCCTGTGGGTGTAGCCGGAGAAACCAGAGCCATGCCACTGTGCTGTGAGAGGTGAAAATATTCCAAATCCAATGGCCTTCTCACAGACAGACTCATGCTCACACCATAGTTCATAAGGGTGTTGGTGGACAAAATGGAAACCCTGTGGTTTTGCAGGGTAACTTCTGAGTTTTTTTAACCTGGATTCTATTTTCTCATGTTTTTGTGACAAAGTGACTTATGGGAAAACTATCTGTTTAAATTGTTCCAGTAAAAGCACTTCAAAGATGGTCCAATAAAAGTTTGTTTTTGCAATTGCTACTAACAGGCTCATGCTGTTATCAGGACCCAACAGAGAAATAAAACCTGTCCTTTTCCTTTTGCTTGATGTGGTAAGTTTGCTATTTTTTAATGTAACTTTTTGCCAGAAGACAGCGGTGAAAACATGAGTATGAGGACACTCCAGACACACCAGAAGGATCCTCCAGGACTTTTTTATGAGGAAAAATAATATTTGCAGTTCACATAAGGCACTGTACACACTCGTTTTTTATGTGCTCAAGTCCACTGTTGTCAATGTGCACGCGCCTATTGGCACTGCGGCTGTGCACAGACCTTATGAGCCTGAACAGTGCATGTTTTTCAGCCCCAGTCTGTGCCTGGTTTGTTGTGTTTGATTACAGAAAGCATGGCTTAGCGTTATCTTAAAAGATTTGACTTGTCAAGGCTGAATATTTAGCTGGATAAGTCCTAACCCTCTCCCGTGATTTCATAACGAGACTTCTCCTTCAGCGAGACTTGGTAAGACTCAATAACAAACTGACAGAATTAGGGTTAAGGTAAAGAAAAAAGGTTCTACCTTCTGGAGGGTCTGCTCATGTCTCTTCTGACAAAATTGTTGATTGTAGCATTGACATTGCAAGCCACGACATTGAATCCTTGTGACAACTTTTATGACAACTATCTAACTTTCACAAGTTAACTACTTGCCAACAGGCACGTGCACACATATGGCGCATTTCCACTGCAGGGCCTCGCACGGTTCAGCACGCTATAGTTAGGCCTTGGTAGGCCAGACTCACTTTATGCTGCGTTTCCATTACAGTTTAGGAACTAGGGTAGTAACTATAGTAACGCAGTGTAGGCGGAGCCGTGACGTCATCTTCAATGAGAACCACAAAACCAACATCAGCCGTTAGCTGTTAGCACTCAGAGCTCACAGCTCCTCATATCTGTTCAGAAACTAGACAAAAGTTAAACAAGTACACACCACAGACTGTCTGTGTCATGGCGAGTACAGTCGCTGCTTTATTTATGTCTGTAGGCCGTTGTTGTGAGTGTGGACGGTCGGAGCATATACTGCGTTAGCTTAGCCGATCTCCATTCAGAAAACACGCATTTTAAAAGGTTTTTCGTCTATTACAATTAAATCACGTTAAAATATGTTGTAGCCCCCTTGCCGTCACTAGTTTAGCATATTCAGCCCAATTGTTGGCCCGGAAAGAACCCCGATTTTGGAGGGCCAGAAAAACTGTGAAAAAGTACCCGTTAGCCGGAACTACCCCTAGTGGAAACACAACAAAAAACGGGCGGGGTTTGGCATGGCACGCTTAAACCGTGCTACGCGCTGCAGTGGAAATGCGCCAATAGACATCAAAGTGGGCTTGAGCCCCTGCCCTTTTTCTTCCTCCAGAGAAAGTGCCCTTTTTTCCCCTCTTTTTTATTTTTAATAAATGAATATATATCTACTGCTGTTTGCGCACAGTTTCCCTTTCCAAAAAGATATTGATTGAATACAATATAAAAATATCAAGTCGGGAGATTAGACTGTGAAGTTCCAACACAGTCTCACTCCCTGATAGTCCAATAGTGACGCTTGGTCAGGGTCCTTTGGCGTGCAGTTGTGACGCGCCGAGTCTCCTTCAGCTTCATAAACGGACGCAAAGAGCTTTCAACTGATTGCAATGTATTCCCATCGGCGGCGGTATTTGACACTCAGGGAAGCACCGCATCGGTCCATGTCGGCGGCAGTTAAAGACAATGTGAGCGTCCATTCCCATTGGATATCGGAGAATTTTACACCCGGAAGTAAGTATTGTCCTTACTGTCGATTGATTTTACAGTGATATCTGCACTACTCATCAACTCAAAAACACCAGATTATCCTTGTTAATTACACAACATTGATTGGTTTAAATTGTGTGCAATGCTTTTGTATTTTCCCCTTTCGATTCGGAGAAACAAATATTTTTTCGGAGTTTAGGATGGCAGAAGCCACTACACTACCCATAATCCTCAGCTATCGTTTAGGACTACACCATGCGCTTTGCTTGACAAACCCCGTGATTAGTCCTCAAGCTTTGTGATTGGATGTTGGAGTGGCAGTGCGCGAAGTTTACGCCGAGCGTCAAACAGCACTTTGAAATGGAATGAAACTAGAGATGGCAAATCTGGATCCTTTTACGGACTCAGGGTCTTCTGAGTCAGTCATTGAAGAGATCCGGATCATACGAGTCATTTGAGTCATATGAGTCAGCATCACCAAGACCGTAGAAATCCTATCGGTGAAACCGAAAAGTTGTTGCATTTCACGAGCATATTATTATTCCATATATTTTGAATATATATATATATTTGTATATATATATATATATAATATCTGCATGTATATTTTCTATTTCGACATGTATATTTTATATTTTATTTTTCTTTCTATTCTTGTATATTTTGTAGTTTTGTTTTATTGTAAAATGCCTTTTATGCTGCTGTAACAACAACAATTTCCCAATTTGGGATCAATAAAGTACTATCTATCTATCTATCTATTAAACTGACGTTATATTAACCTCCGCTACACAGTGTATTTTGCTTTAATAAAAAATGTTGATCACAAAAAAAAGGGTTATTTTGCGATTTGGCAAATCTGAGTCTGCTGTTGACTCGTGCATGAGGACGAGTCTGCTGGATCTCTGGATCTGCTGCTATATACGGCTCTGAGTCCGCACGAGTCTGCTGGATCTCTGGATCTGCTGCTATATGGTTATGGCTCTGAGTCCGCACGAGTCTGCTATGTGTTGCACAGCGAGTCAGGATTTGCGAATCTGCGAGTCTGCTGTTGACTCGTGCATGAGGACGAGTCTGCTGGATCTCTGGATCTGCTGCTATATACGGCTCCGAGTCCGCACGAGTCTGCTCTGCTGTGTGTTGCACAGCGAGTCAGGATTTGCGAATCTGAGTCTGCTGTTGACTCGTGCATGAGGACGAGTCTGCTGGATCTCTGGATCTGCTGCTATACGGTTACGGCTCTGAGTCCGCACGAGTCTGCTCTGCTGTGTGTTGCAGCGAGTCAGGATTTGCGAATCTGCGAATCTGCTGTTGACTCGTGCATAATATAGCGCGGGAGCCGGGTGCTGGAGGAGGGGCTATGCTCGTGCACATGACGAGTATGGATGGCTGGATCTGCTATGCTATTACGGTTAGGAGCCGTCGGCTCCTCTGAGTCCCCACAAGTCTGCAGGAAGTTTCACTGATCCGCGTCCCCTCCCCTGAGCCAAACGATCACTTCTGGCAGCTATCCTACTTGCTAAAGGGTAGGCAGATGGACTGGGGTACGTTGTAATGTGATTTTACATGTTATAAAGAGAGTAGCGAGTGACGCAATTTATAGTTTTAATTTGTACGTCACACCAAGTGTGGGACTCAAGGACTCGGGTTAATGGAGAGGGGAGACTCGTCACGACCAGCTCATTTCTAGGATCCGGGTTAATGATCCGGATGAATCAGGACTCGCCCATCTCTAAATGAAACTAGGGTTGTCAGTCGATTAAAATATTTAATCGCGATTAATCGCATGATGTCCATAGTTAATCGCGATTAATCGCAAATTAATCGCAATTTTTTTTTTCTAAATGTACCTTAGAGGAATATTTTTTAAGTTTTTAATACTCTTATCAACATATGAGTGGACAAATATGCTTTATGCAAATGTTTGTTTATTATCATTGGAACAATGACAAATATTCTCCTGAATATTCTCAACACAACAACCTCTGAACAATGACAAATATTCTCCTGAATATTTTCAATACAACAACCTGGAACCTCTCTCTCTCTCTTACACTCTCTCCCAACCCTGTGTACTTCTTTGCACTGAGCCAGTTGCTCAAACAGGCAAATAATGCGCTGTGATGTGCAGTCGACACGTTGGATGCGATCCGAATGATCTAACGCAGCCCCTCGTCCTCCACGATGTTAAGCTGTAGCCACCCATTTAGCTATCGCTGTTGTTGTCCAGGCGTCCCCGGCAAACTTTCAAGCGTGGTCTGCCGCAAGCGAGCGGCAGGAGCGGGGCTGTCAGCATCAGCTGTGTGCTTGGCTTGCTGTTTAAAACACCTTTTTTGTATCCATATCTCTCGCTAGAATCTCCCACCATCCAACTAACAACAACAACAACAACGTCAAGCCTTTGGGCTCTGAAACTACGGGGTGGGCCGAGGAGAAATGCGTTAATCGCACGTTAATTATTATTATTTTTTTTAACGCGTTAAAGGTGGGGTAGGTAATTTTGGAGAAACCAGCTGAGTGTGCTAGAATTTGAAAATACACAGCCGGAAAAAATCTCCCACTTCCTTACAGAGCCCCTCCTCCAACACACACGAACGCGCACATGACCAATGAGGGCACGGGATAAGTTTGTGCACAGATGGAAGGCTGACAGGCAGGTAGGCCATCCAGTTATTTTAGCCGGGCCGGCTTCCACAGATACAATTTTGTTATGGATTTTTTGTCAAAGCACTTAAGATATTCATTGCTATCGGGATGTTAAGAGCATTCCATGGAATATAACAAAAAGTGTATCTCGAGCCGGTTTCTCAAACTTACCTACCCCACCTTTAACTTGACAGCCCTAAATTAAACCCATCGACGGCACGCTATCCAAAACAGGACTCGAACGTGTCCACCC